CACTTACGAGCTACTCATGCCCGTGCCACCTTTTGGGTGGCTTCATCTTCATCTTAACACATTCACAAGGGAGACACACATTCACAAGGGATCTCCCGTCATGCAGGGTGCAGTCGCACCTCCACTGATCTCCAGTATCAGCTCTTGATACTGGTAATGGCTCAAAAGGGCCACCACTTACGGGCTATTCATGCCCGTGCCACCTTTTGTGTGGCTTAATCTTCATCGAATAGACAACAGACGGGAGACATCCCGTCACGCAGGGTGCAGTTGCATCTCAGATCTCCAGGATCAGTTCTTGATACTGGTAATGGCTCAAAAGGGCCACCACTTACGGGCTATTCATGCCCCTGTCACCTTTTATGTGGCTTAATCTTCATCAATCACTCGAATAGACAACAGTACAATTTCCAGTCAAGAATGTAGCACTCGGCGTAGGCAGCTCTAATCGTCTCGAAGACGCTACAGCTTCGACACAGAACAGGCAGCAGACTAGGACCACATCCAGCTACAACGCTCTCCCACATAGAGCTCCGCGACTCCGGCCACACTCAGCTCTCTGCTCTGCTCCAAGCTCTGTCTCAACGTCTACGACACTGCTGTATCCAGGATTACTAAATAAATATGAAACTCACTAAACACAGTGTATCTAATCTACCCAACAACATAACATAATCGTACGTTACACGAGAATCCGTCTTGGATACAAATATCCATGGAGATACGGAATGAAAACAACAGTTGATCAGCGAAGTTGCAGAATCTGTGGTGAGAGTGACGGACACCGCCTTGACCACTATCTACGTGAATGTGAACACCTGAGAGACATTAGAAATACTTTATGTGTAGAATAATAAACCCCACATTGGTTGAGTTAGGAAAACACTATTTGTCAAATATTGATATTGTTCTTAAAAGATTCCCCCATTTTGCACCTATAATAATAATAATAATAATAATAATAATAATAATAATAATAATAATAATAATAATAATAATAATAATAATAATAATAATTTATTTAGGAACAGTACATACATAGTTGCATCATTACAGTACAAACATTCTGTTGGATTTAAAGATAGAGGTAGTACATACAATACCTAAAGCCACTAGTACACATAGCGTTTCGGGCAAGGAGAGGCGGGGAAAAAATCACTTAGACTAAAACTTAATAGTAATTGAGCTTAAAGTATAAATTGTGTTGAATGAAAAAAAATAATAAAAAATGAATAAAAGGGGGAACATGGTAGAAAATAGCCAATAAACAAGTTGGTCAACAAACAACATTTTTTTTTAAATACTAAGACATGGGTTGACATTTAGAAGTAAGGTAGGTTACATGGAGTTAATTAGGTAGTATTTAGTTTTCATCTTAAACTGGTTGAGAGAGGTACAATCTTTGATATAATTGGGAAGGTCATTCCACATTCTGGGTCCCTTGATTTGTAGAGCATTTCTAGTTTGGTTAAGTCTAACTCTTGGAATATCAAATAGGTATTTGTTTCTGGTGTGGTGCTCATGGGTTCTGTTACAACCTTCTAGGAAGCGGTTAGGGTCAGGACTGACATTACAATTCAGAGTTTTAAATATATATAATACACATGAGAGGATGTGCAGTGACTTAATATCTAACATTTTCTGAGGTTGGAAGAAAACGTGCTCAGATTGGGGACTTGTTTATTTTATAATGGTAAATAATAAATTAATTATTATTATTATATAATAAATAATAATAATAACAAATAGTATAATGATAAGCAATTATTTTTAATGAATCAAATAGCTAATTAGGATGAATGATAAATAATTATTGAGTAATGCATAACAATAAAGTATTAAGGAATAATTATAATGAATAATCCTTATAATGATAAAGTATTAAATCAATTACAATTAATAACTACATCTATAGTTAGTAATTGAAAGGTGCATTAATTTAATTACACTAATAACAATTCATGGAAATATTTCTTAGCTATCTGCAGGCTTATCACTTTGGGGGTTCCGGCGGAGCACCCCCCATCCCGCGAGGGCCAGCGGTGCGGAACCCCCAACCCCGAAGGGCGAGCGGCGGCTGGCCGCTGTAACTAGGAATGTGACTACTCGCGCTGTGGCTGTAACCTTGCCTGTGACAGGTTTCCCCGGCTGAAAAAGTACAACATATTCAGAGATTTGAGTAAGGGTACCGAGTGCTGTCTGGGGCCAGAGTTAGATATTGTCCTAATAGCAGCTTTGTGTTGGACAATTAGAGGACGTAAATGATTTTGGGTAGTAGAGCCCCAAGCACAAATACCATAGTTGAGATATGGATAGATAAGGGAGTAATAGAGAGTCACCAGGGCAGGGCGAGGTACATAATATCTGATCTTAGAAAGAACGCCAACAGTTTTAGAAACTTTTTTTGCTATATTTAGAATGTGTCCCTGGAAATTCAGCTTGTTATCGATGAGGACACTAAGGAATTTACCATCAACTTTACTACTGATTTGTATATTATTTATTCTTAAATTAATTTCATTTGAGGATTTATTACCAAACAAAATATAGAAAGTTTTGTCAATGTTAAGGGTGAGTTTGTTAGCAGTTAGGCAAAGATGGACTTTATTTAGTTCAATATTCACAGGGACATTTAGAGCAAGAGGGCCAGGACTGGAGAAGATGAAGGTTGTGTCATCAGCAAATAAGATTGGTTTGAGGTGTTGGGAGGCATTTGGAAGGTCATTAATGTAGATGAGAAAGAGAGAGGGCCAAGTATGCTGCTCTGAGGAACACCAATGTTGATGGGTAGGGTGGGAGAAATGGAATTATTCACAGAAACATACTGGAGCCTGTCAGTAAGGTAAGCCTGAAGATATTGGAGGGAGTGACCTCAGACTCCATAAAGATGCAATTTAAGAAGAAGGTTTTGGTGGTTGACAGTGTCAAAAGCCTTACGCAGGTCCACAAATATCCCAACAGGGAACTCATTTTTATCAAGAGCTGCATGTATCAAGTTAATCATACTAATAAGTGCATCGTTAGTGCTTTTTTGGGGTCTGAAGCCATATTGGCAAGAGCTAAGTATATTGTGTTTGGCTAGATAAGAGTAAAGCTGCTTGTAGATTAGTTTTTCAAATATTTTTGGCAAGTTTGGCAAAATTGATATAGGTCTGAAGTTGTTGACATCAGTGGGATCACCACATTTGTGGACTGGGGTTACTCTCGCTTTTTTTTTAGAATATTTGGAAAGGTTTGGAGTTCAAGTGACTTGTTGAAGAGCAGTGCAATAACAGGGGCTAAAGTTCTGGAGGCTTTTTTGTAGATTAGAGTTGGTATCTCCTCAAGGGCACTAGATTTGGTTTTAAGGGAAAGGATTATCTCATTTACATCAGTGAAATTAGAGGGCGTTAGGTACAGAGACTGTGGATAGTTACCTGTAAGATAGTCCTTAACATTTGTACTGGAAGATGGAATATCATTAGCAAGTGATGACACAATGGAAGAGAAGAACCTATTGAATTCAATAGCAGCATCAGAGGCTGTAAGCTGACCATCGTTATTGGACAGGAGTATTGGTTTGTTATTTAAAAAAAATTTTGACCCAATATTTGTGAAATTGTGCTCCATGTTTTCTTAATGTTGCCCTTTGTTTGGGTAAATTTATCTTCGTAGTATTTAATTTTGGCTCTTCTAATTATATTAGATAGCAATGATGAGTAATTCTTTGAAAGTTCTTTGGAGACGATACTTAACCTATACTTCTCAAGGTCATGTTTTTTGTTAATAGATTTAAGTATCCCCTTTGTAAGCCAAGGATTGTTTAGCCTTTTAGTTGTGACTTGTTTCGTTAGCATAGGACGGTGGGTGTTATAAAGGCTGAGAGTTTTTTGAAGAAATGATTGCACTGCTAGGTTGATGTTCCCTATGCTGGTCCCCTATATACACCTGCAAGATAACATAAGCTTTTAAGGGTTGACAGATGTTAATCTTCTTGTTTGAGGAGCTGTTCACTTGAAGACAGTTAAGCAAGTCCCAGCTGTGTCTGGGTACAAGTGACAGGATGAACAACCCAGCGGGTTTTCTTCCTATTGGGAAGTGTTGTACATGCTGCTATGGCGGTGTGTCCACTCACAGGATTAGTGGTGCTGCCCAATAAACTCGCCCCTCGGGGCAAAATAAAAAAATTAAATGAGATAAGACATTGGTGGGGGGATATATAACAGCCTATCAAACAGGCAAACTACCATGATAATGGTTGTTAATTACTATCTCTATAATCACCTCCCTCTCTTACGTCTTAATATGAAGGAGGGATGATAAAGTATTACAAAATACGGATGATGTATGGATATATAACATACGTGTCCGCAAGTTGTGTTTTAGAGAAGATTTCTTAGGCGATTGTTCGTCTTAAGTCATTTTTGAGGCGATCGGACAGGTTGACTGGTCAGGCCGGGCGGCAGTGATGCCAACACACCAGGAACACACACCCTCGGTGTTCTATATTACCTGGTTGTTGACAAGCAAAAGTTTACACCAAAATAGCATTAATAATGACTCAGTACAATCAAAAATATTTAATTTTGCAAAGTATGCAAATTAATTAGATTATTTCCGTAATAATTAGTGCATTGTTTCCAGTTGCCTTTATTCATATCTCTAGTAAAGACTTCCTGTCATTACACAAGCATGATTATCACAAATATTATGATGAAGTAGAAGATAATTGGAGATATTTGTGAGGAGGGATATATTATAGATGTAGAGAATATTACAAGGGAAGGTGTGATGTGGTGGAAGAGTTGAGGCCATGCGGGGGTTGGCAACAGTTGGCGTCAGTCATGTCGCTGGAGGACGACGACAACACCTGGTGAGTGTTGTGGTGGTGTCTTATATCCTCACACGTCGCCCACACGCGTCGTCTTGGGCGTGGCGGCCCTCCCGCAGTGGCCGGGGGCAGCGTGGCGGCCCTCCCGCAGGTACCACGCCCTTACATGTGCCGTTATTTGTGCCGCCAACGTCCGGGTTTGTTGATGTCAACACGATCAGCTGTTGTTGACGGGAGTGACCCCGCGGCGACGGTCTCGGCCCCAGGCCACCCGGGGGTAGCAATAGTCTGGTGAGACAGGTGGGCAGTCTTAGGGGGACTATCTTGGATACACAATGTAGGTGACAGTTGTCTCGGCTGGAAGTCTGCGAGAGCTGACCTGTAGGTTGTGACCTGTCTGACGGTAAACCCAATTTTACTATGGTGGGAGAAATGATTATCCTGGCTCGGTCCTTGCGCGTTCTGTCTCCTTGTTGCAATTACCGTTGTCGGGGACAGTTAGCCGGTACTGGGGCTTATTCACCCCCCCCCCCCCCCTCTGCCTCCATACTCCTACGCCAACTAACCACCTAACCGCCAGGATGCGTCCCACAAGAGTTGTCAACTCCCAGGTTATATTGCTAGGTAAACAGGAGCATGGGATGGAAAGTTAACCATTTGTGTGGTCCTCGCGATGCAGTGGTACGACACTCGCCTGGCGTTTCGCGAGTGCTTTGTCCTGGGTTCGTATCCTGGCCGGGGGTAGGGGATTTACTGGGCGTTAATCCTTTACTGTAGCCTCTGTTTACCCAACAGTAAAATGAGAACCTGGTTAAACGATTTGGCGGATCGTATTCTGGGCAAGATAGGATTAGGGACTTGCTCGAAATGCTACGCCTACTAGTGGCTGTAAAAGAATGTAAGAACTCTTGTATATGTAAATTTGTCCTGCCCAGGGGATTGAACCTGGGTCCCTAGATTCTGCCAAAGCTGCAGGCCGGCGTGGGTGTTCATGTGGGTTGTAGATCGCCGAGTACTACGACCACACAGGCATTTAGATTGCCAACCTGCTTGTTCCTACCTTTTACTACTACTGCTCCTTCAATTTTAGTTTGTGTAATTACACAAGTGTAGTTACAGGGAGTTGTGCTCGTGGTGTCCCGTCTTCCCAGTACAATACTCTTGTATAATGCCTTGAAACTGGAGATGGGTTTGGGCCTCCACCACCACCTCCTCTCAGCTTAAGTGTGTGTGTGTAATTACCTAAGTGTAGTTACAGGATGAGAGCTATGCTCGTGGTGTCCCGTCTCCACAGCACTGTCATAAAATGCTTTGAAACTACTGACGGTCTTAGCCTCTACCACCTTCTTGCTTAACTTGTTCCAACTGTCTACCACTGTTTACAAAAGTGAATTTTTGTGTATTTCTCCGGCTGCTTTGTTTCGTAAGTTTAAATCCATGACCTCTTGTTCTTGAAGTTCCCGGTCTCGGGAATTCTTCGCTATCAATTTTATAGATTCCTGTTGCTGTTTTTGAATGTAGTGATCATATCTCTTTTCTTCTACTAGTTTTTGCATATTTAATGCCTCTAACCTCTCCTCGTAGCTCTTGCCCTTCAGTTCTGGGAGCCACTTGGTAGCATGTCATTGCACCTTTTCCAGTTGATATGCTTAAGATATGGCACCACACAACCGCTGCATATTCCAGCTTTGGTCTAATAAGTCATGAAAAATTTTAGTATTTCACTATCCATATATTTAAAAGCAATTCTGAGGTTAGAAAGTGTAGCATAAGCTCCTCGCACAATGTTCTTAATGTGGTTCTCGGGTGTTTTCTATCTAGAACCACCCCTAGATCCCCTTTTTTGTCAATTCTTTAGATTTCTCACAATTTATAGGTTGTGTGGGGTGTGTTCTCCAATTCTACATTCCATAACATGGCATTTATTCACATTAAATTCCATTTGTCAAGTGGTGCTCCATATACTTTTGTCCAGGTCTTCTTGAAGGGCATGAATCGTCTAGGTTTCTTATTTTCCCTATTATCTTAGCATCAGCAGCAAACATGTTCATGTAATTCTGTATTCCCACTGGTAGATCGTTTATGTAGACAATGAACATTACCGGTGCAAGAACTGAACCTTTTCTAAAAAAAGCCTTTTTTAGGTCCAGATAGATGCAGTCAACCCAACCATCTTTCCTGTAAAATCTGTGGCTTGATCATAAAAACAGAATAAGTTTGTTACACAGGATCTTCCAGATCGAAAACCATACCGTCTGTCTAATATATCTTTTTCCTCCAGGTGTTCTACCCATTTAGTTTTAATTATTTTTCCCAATATTTTGACTATTACACTTGTCAATGATACAGGTCTATAATTAAGGGGGGTCTTCCCTGCTTCCACTTTTGTAGATTGGAACTGTTAGCCTTTTTCCACACATTAGCTACAACCCCTGTACACAGGGATGCCTGAAAAATCAGTTGAAGTGGAATGCTGAGCTCAGGTGCACATTCTCTCAGAACCCATGGTGAAACTCAATCTGGACCAACTGGTTTCTTACTTAGCTCCTTGAGCATTTTTTCCCACTTTGTCTCTAGACACCTCTGTGTTCTATGTTCCCTGGAATTCTTATTGTCTGGTGCCCTAAAGATTTCGTTTTGTACAAACACACTTTGGAACTTTTTGTTTAGTTTCACACATTTCCTTTTCATTTTCTGTGAATTTATTTACCATTTTCAACCTCTATTATCCTTTACCTGCAATTTGTTTAGGAATTTATAGAATAGACCTGGTTGTTTTACATTTGTTTGCAATCCCTCTTTCAAAATTTTTCTGCCTCTCCTCACTGCCGTGTATTGTTTCTCGCATCTTTGTATCGTTGGCAAGTTTGGGGTTTTGGCCTCTTCCTGTATTGATTCCATTTTTGTGTCTTTTGGTCTCTGGCCTTCTCGCAGTTTCTATTGAACCAATCACGTTTCCTAGTTCTGCATCTGTTTTGCTATAAATTTTTTTGTGCCTTTATCATATATTTCACAACTTGACATAATCTCGTGCACTTCCTTGCCTAGCAAGTCTGTCCAATTATACTCGCTAAAAAAATTTCTAAGGTCGCCATAATGTCCTCTCCTGAAGTCAGGTTTTTCAACTGCTTCAACCTCCTTATTTTCTTCCAGATTATAATGCATTGCATACTTTATTCCCAAACAGACATGGTCACCTTTACCCAAGGGAGGAAGGTACCGAATGTCAAATATCTTCCTCCTTCCTGGTAAATATCAAATCTAGCATGGAGGGAACGTCCCCTTCCCTCATCCTCGTAGCTTGTTTAACACTATCGGTAACTTTGGACCGGACTCTCGTCTATTATTTTTCTCTTGAATTCTAACTTTGGACCGGACTCGAGTCCACTACAAAAATATTTGTATAAAATTTTTTATCCAATCAACCTCGGGATAGTATCAAAATCACCATTTAGAATGCGCACAATTTGATACCAAATGAAAGATGTAACATGAAACTTGATGTCCGAACACTTATGATTATAAATAGGTTTTTGGTCAAAGTTTTAATTGTTAAAATTCTATTTGTGCTATTATGTTGGGACCAGTTTTAAAATGCGCGCCTTTACGTCGCGAACAATGATAACAAAATGAAATGTGTAACACAAATTTGTCAACACTGGGAAGATATAAATAATTGTGAGCTTCCAGAATTAAAATAGTTGTTAAATTCCAGTTATTGCTCTATTATTATGGGACTAGTTTTAAAATAAGCGCCTTTTTATTGCGAACAATTTGATACCAAAATGAAAGGCATAACACGAAGATGTGTATACTCGTTCAGTTTGATAACATTAGGTTGCAGTGTACAATTTGGTGCTCGTTCATGGGTAACTTTAGGCTTTTCTGCAGGGAGGCACTCCAAACTTTTGTACATCATATTCATACACATCTGTAGGGAATTTAATTGCAAACAGATACCAAAACGAGCGACGTAGCACGAGAATTAAGGTGAGAAAAATGGAAAGAGTACAGTATGCACATTTTACTGATTTTGTGCGCTCACGGGTAACTTTTGCTGACTTTAGGCTTTGCTGTTGGGAGTCACGCCAGGCTTTTGAACATTAAATTTATACACACCTGTAGGGAATTTAATTGCAAACAGATACCAAAACGAGCGACGTAGCACGAGAATTAAGGTGAGAAAGCTGAAACGAGTATACACATTTAGGTGTCGCCGCGCGTTTACCCGCATGCTCGCCCGCACGTCGGGTGCTTGACCCCTAAGTTGACCGCGCGCCTGTCCGGTGACCGATAGTGTTAACATGTTGATACAAGAATGTTTCCAGGATGAGGTCTACAAATCTACAGGTCCAAAATTCTTCTGTTTTAGCTTCATATGCATCCCAGTCTATGGATTTAAAGTTATATAATCTCTCTAATCTCTCATTATTATAAGACCTTCTCATTTACTATCTAGCTCCTCCTTTACTATCTAGCTCCTCCTTTGACCATGTGCTGCTTGGCGGTGGACTATATGCATTTATGATCATTAGTTTATCATCTTCATGGCAGATCTCTAGTGCTATTATGTCAACTTGTGGATTAGCAGTCATTATTTCCTTCACCTTTAGGTGTTCTTTCACCAGCACAGCAACGCCACCGCCTTACCTAATTTTTCTGTCCCGTCTCCAAATTGAGTAGCCCCTTGGGAATATGACCTCATTTAAAATATCAAGTTTTGTCTCTGTGAGTGCAACAATGTCTGGGGTCTGCAGCTGTATTACATCACTTAACTCCAGTATCTTCGATCTCACTTGATCTGTGTTGGTGTATGCAATCTTCAGGATCTTGTTACCCCTCTCCTTATTCTTCACTCCCTCTTGATTTTGTTGGTTTGCCTTTATGTACCACTTTATTGGTCTGCCTACCCCTAACACTTTGTAGAAAAAAAGAATTGATTTTTTCATTCCTACTCATTTAAACGTTGTGCCTCGGTGAGGTTCAGTTTCACCTTCTGTCTTTTGAAAGATCTCGTCTTAATGACCACACTTTCCCATCATCATCACTTTGTAATATTCTAGCATTCCTTAGTACTTCTTCCATCTGTTTGGCACCGTTTAGGGTGATCCTCAAAGGTCGATCTTTCCCTTTTACGTATCTACCTATTCTCCTGTAGTCGCGCACATTCTCTATAGTAACAAGACCTTCTACGAGGCCATAATACCAATTTTATCTACTACTTTCGCTTCTACAGCTCTTTCTGACCTAGATGTTATCTCCTTTTCTTTGCAAACAAAAATTATCAGGGA